CCCGAAAAAATTGAAATTGGATTCATTCACTGAATGACAGCGATTTGTTGAATATAATTAATAACTCGGGGATCACTCATAATGAGTATGTGATCAGAATTGAGATAACTTTGATAAAACACATTTTGCTTTTGCTTTCCCTTCCATTGAAGGCATGAACTCAGACTTTTCAAGTTAACAGTGCCATCGCCATCGCCATACACTATATGGGGCTGAGAATCGGGAAACTTTCCCTTATTATAGACCAGTTTATGCATAGTATCGAGTCCATGGCCGTGAAGACAATGCACTTCAACGCCAGGAGGAGTCATATTATAAGTTAAATTCCTGACGTCGAGCCACATGTTATAGCCCGTCATGTAATTGATGTCCTCAAAGAAGTCCCTATAGTTACGAGTCGTGTAATTCCTGAGCGTGGACTCCATGAGTACTTCATCGGGTCCCCACACCTTATCACTCGGCAACAGATACGCCAAACTCGGGAAAGTCCTCTCGTCCTCACGTATAGTGAGAGAGGGGACGACAACTACACCGAAATTATCTCCCGATGCAAAGGCCTTCAATGACTTGACGGCCCCACCCCAGGGTCCGGCCAATGTGACCAACGACTGGACGTATTTGTCTTTCCACTGTTGGGTCTGACGATTGAGAAGGTATAACATTGTGGGACAACCCATTGAATGGCATAATAGTATGGATTTAGTCTTATTATTCTTCTCATAGGTGTCCTGAACTAAAGCCTTCACTTGACTCAAGTAATCGGCCAACTCGTCTGAATTGAAACAATTTAATTATTGTCCAAATAATACAATCCTTATGAATGGACTCACTCGGAGCTTTGCGGAAGTCATAGGGGGCGCCCCTTATGGTCGTTCCTCTTTCGTACCCGAATTTCACCAATTGGTCGACCAGGTTATTGAAATACCCCGACACAGGCACTCGACTCGGGTCTACATATTCAACGGTTGAGGTATTGCCTAAACCGGGAACTTGTGTCTCGACACCAATAGAGTTGGAAGTGGTTCGCGTGGTGTTGTCGTAAACCAGTTTCATGTTATCAATCCAACAGTCGATCACAAACGGCACCAAAAGCGCCAGATTTAGCCATAAGTTGAAGTAATCGTCGGTTTTCTTATCGCAGAAATAATGCGGAACATCCGCTTTATCCAGCTTTGCATCGATCTGACTGCCCCCATCACCCGGCACTGTTCATACACCAAGCACATTTTTAGCATAAGTTAATGCCTAGTAATTATATTCTTACAAATTAGATATTTCAATTTTTCACATTTTAGCCAATTTTATGGGTAGACTTATTTATGAATATAACTTATTCTGATAATTGCAATTTAATCAAAATAATAATAATTTTCTATTTATATAACGAATGGCTATATTTATGACATTATATAATATAATATTTTGTTTGATTAAGATTATGCTGTAGATTATTAAATTCATATTGCAAATAATAATGCAATATTTTTTATGTGCACTAGGCATTATTTAAAATGACTGTCTCAATAATTGATATAAATTGACATCAAATTATACCCTTTCCTTATTAAACAATAATAATAATAATGATATCATCTCTTAAAAATGAACTAAATTGCAAATAATCAGTAAATAAATTCATGTAATTTGCAATCATTTGTTTTGAAAGATTAAAACTTAATGAATAAATGCCTTGATTAATCGCTAGTTTAGATGAAAATCAAGTTCAACATAAGATCAAGTTTATGGTCATTTGATTGCATTAAATAAATCATTTCAATTCACTTAATGCAATGAATTTATAATTTTCTATAATAAGACTCATACCATAATAGTGTTATATAATAGTTATCAAATATACTATAAATTTAATCAAAACTATATTAATTGATAGCAATATATAATATGATATGACATGATACTCACCTAAAATAATGGGATAGAGTTTAGGTTTGGGATCAGTTTGGATGCGATTGAGTCTTGAGGTGACTCTGTTGTCATCAATACTTCTCTCGACGATCGACGATATGAGACACACGGGTAAAGCAATTAACAAAACAAATGTCAAACTTTTCATTATATTGTCGATTGAAATATAAGTTAAATTGAATTGATAAAATGTGTTTTATCAAAGTTATCTCAATTCTGATCACATACTCATTATGAGTGATCCCCGAGTTATTAATTATATTCAACAAATCGCTGTCATTCAGTGAATGAATCCAATTTCAATTTTTTCGGGAGATTATGGTTTTGAGCAAAACTTAATTCACTTTTTATTAATAGCTTTCTATTATCTCAAGAATTTATTCATTAGTTGCTTAACATATTAATTATAATTTTATAAATAATATCATTTTGACTAATTATAGTGCAAACAAATTATAAAATATATTTAAAGCGTTATATTTAAACTAAATTTATCAAGTTTTGACAATTTAATATTATTTTAAGCATTACAAAATAACTATTATGTAATAATGTAACAATTAATTAATTATATATATTATCAAAAGTTTGTATTTTTTCAATTATATACTCTTATAAAACAAATAAATAAAATATTAATTATTAAAACTTTGCAAATAATTGTTTTTGAAACAAATTAATTCTCGTAAAAACAAATTAATTAATGAATAAAGAACAATTTACAAAATAAAGACATTTCTAATGCATTAAATAGTATAAATAAATAATTTTAAATTATTTTGAAACAATTCATTACAAATTATATACAACATTTTAATAAATAACATTCTTAATAGCTTTTGTCAATTAATCATAAATTTAAGTTCATACTATTAACTTTACTGGTACATACAAAAATATACAAAGACTACAGTTGATATAATATTCAATATTTTAAATATATTAAATCAATAACTTATAAAAACATATTTCTAACGAATTTCGTAAGTATTTCTAAGTTAAATCAATGTTTGCTTTAATATACGGGTATTAATTGAATTTAAATAAAAAAATCAATTATGATTTCTAGTTTATTACCTAAAAGTCATAAAATTATCTATTAAGAAATCTTATATTAGTTTCTTTTAATTATTGATGACACATTTAAATAAATACATTTATTAAATGCAATGATAGCCTAGTTATCAGTCAAAAGGGTTTGTCGAAAATAATGTCTGTTTTGTTATTATTGAAGGAATTAATGAATTTCTACGCAAAAAATCGATTTAATAATAGAAAATATAGTGGAAAGGTATGCATTATTATCGTGTGATACCTGTGCGTTACGGATAGGGCGCACATGCAGTCAGTCTGTCATTGAATGGCAAAAACATTAAGTAATAGAATATCATATTTATTGATGAATTGTGAAATGAATTCTAATAATAAAACAACAAAATAGTTATCAATTTTACAATAATATGCAAAATGTTAGTCAAAATCAATGAATTGACGTCTGAGTGAGTGATTTAATGGCATTATTTAAAAACAAGATAAGCGTTTCGACCAAAAAGTCAGAACCGAATCGACAGAATCGACAGAATCGACAGAATCGACAGAATTTCATTCGAGTCAATGGCTGGACGTATCCTTTCCATTGGCTTCAGATCATTGCCTGGATTTTCTATTTGCTCATGAGTTGCATTTGCTTCACATTCATTGTGCCCACACTTCCCAACACTCACATCAGATGCAGTGTCTTAGCGGCCAAACTCGTCATTTTTATCATCCATTTCATCACTCACTTCATAGCCGTCAATATAAATCCAGCCGACGATCACGTGATCGACAAACTGGATGCGAGTCGCGAGCGGCCGAAGTTTGACCGCACGAAGCACTCGCATGTCATCGAAAACCAGTTCTGCTATATCTGTGAGACAACCGTGGGATCCAAATCCAAACACTGCAGTCTCTGCAATAAATGTGTCTCTGATTTTGACCACCACTGCAAATGGCTTAACAACTGTGTCGGCGGCAAAAATTATAGGTATAACTTATATCAACTCATTTCCTATACCATTCTAATGATATCTAATATCTACTCCAAGGTGGTTCATATACGCGGTATTGTCAGCACTGGTGGGAACCATTATGATTTTCATCAATTGTCTCGTCCTAACCATAGCTTATTTTTCAGCCAACAGTTGGCTTTATGGCAAGTTTTAAATGCAATCCTTATTTCAATGTTTTTAATTTAATTGTCTCAAACTATAGACCCGGGTTCAACACTATTATTCTTCAATAGTCACACAAATGTTAGTAAAATTTTGCAAATATTTTGGATCGTGGTCATCATATCAACGCTTATATTATCACTCATTGCTATTGTTTTATTAACACACTTACTCGGGTTTCATCTATTTTTACGTAAGTTTTATACAAATTTACTATTAAGACTGTTACTAGCAATTAAATGTTTTATGTTCAACTATAACATTTTATTGAATAACGTAACTGGAATTGTGAAATGCTTTTAGATTTATTTGTTAATTTAATTATAAACATCCTTTTCATATAAAATTGTTGCAGAAATTTAATGCGATTATTCCTTGATTATAAAATGCAATTTAAATCTTCAATAATATCTATTTTCTACGGAATTCTACTACTATATAAAGGCAATTGTTTGAACTACTCTTAACATAATCATTGAATTCAGGTTTCAGGTATAAGTTTGAAATTAAGGACTTTAATCAAAAATTCCTTTAAATACAAACAATTTTATTCAAATAATATTAAATTTCTAAAAATACAATATTAATTTCAAGTTTTGTAGAAAAATAGGTAAAAATTAGTCTGAACTATAAATAAGATTTTATTTCAAATGACTTACAAAATATGTTGCATAAAATAATTAATTGAATCTATGCTTTCGATTATCAGATTTTATTACATACCGTATCTATTCGCGTGTTTGAAGTCATTTATTGTATGATTTAATACATTCTTATAAATAGATTTCAGATTCACTGATAGTCTAATAAGTTTTGCTTATTTCAATCATTATGTTACTGTAGTAAGTTAGGGATATAATATGAATATGCATTTTGTAAGCATTATAGGAGGGGTTTAAAAATGATTTTAAATGTTAAGATTCTACACGGAATATTAAATGTTTTATAATGTTTATAATGAAATAAGTTTAGGTTTACATTAGGCATAATTAGTGATTTTTGGTAAATTTAAATCAAATGTTTAACTAATTGAATAACAGATTGTATGGGACTCTCAACGTATGACTTTGTTGTGAACCATCGCAAAGACAAGTCACTAATGTCTGGACTCCTCAATGACTCGGAACGCAACAAATTAGTCACATATTTAACACGATTGCAGAAATGTATGGCAATTGTTGTGTGCACTAAGAAACGGGTTAAGCCTTCAGAGACGGACATCGATGGTTCAAATGAATTAAAACTATCAAAAGAAAAACAATTCATTGAATCCGTCGTTAAAGACGTACCAAAAGTAGACAATAAAGAGACGCTTGAGATCTCAGATGTGATGAGAGATATCGAGAATTCAAATAAAGACTTGAAATCAAGAAATGCCACAAAGGTTTCGCCCATAAAAAGTGGTCAACAAATGGAAAGACATATGAATGAAATGAATAAAAACAAAGAAATGACTAATAAATCAAACATTGAGTCAAATAAAGAGCCAAATAATGGAAGCACTGAAGAGACGACACGTGAGGACAAAGCAAATCCGGATACTATGGGATCAAATGGAAGCGATGGACAGGTCTATAATGAGCCCATATTTAAACCAATGAGCGAATCACTAGAAGGAAGTGGACGTATGAGTCGACTATCGTTTGTGAATAAAAGTAATTTCATTGTACCGTCAGTTTGGTCCGAATCTGGATTCGCTACCATTCCTTCTAATCATCTGTATATGCGATACAACTCTTATAAATTCAATGACAATAACCTAAGACTCAATCATTTCCATCGAAAGCGACAACAAATTCATCGCCTGAACCGAAACACAGACAACGAGTCGGTGACCGACAAAGACGTGTCCAACACTTCCAACACATCCAACACTATCACCACTTAAATGCATAATTCGTTTGACATTTAAATTACAATATGTTTTAATTGTGAACTAATAATACATTTGAATACAATATATATTTGCAAAACTGAATAAAACACTACTATTTGTCTAATCGTTGTCTAAATCTTGTAATTAATAACAAAGTTTTGCTTTCAATAAACCAATCATTACTTAAAATGCAATGAATTTGGCGTTAATTTGTGTCTTCGTATCTGAAATGCAAACACAAAACCACATTAAGTTATGGTCGACGTGTGTAATGGACACATGCATGACATACCGGTGCCGATGGCTCAGGCCTTTTTGCCCTTATATTCCTCGAGGTTGACGAGTATCCAAGCGGGTCCGGCCAGTATGCCCACGAGGAGGAACACACCCCAGAAGGCCTTCTCCGTGTAACCGATGCGCTCTCTGGGAGGGCCCACCAATTGCTTGTGGTATGTGGGGTATAGCGTACGTACGGACACCCGGTTGGCGGTCACCACACGCGACAGACCACTCTTCACCACTCGACCCAACATATTGTCTCAATTGGCCGCAGATTTCAATGGATTTGACGCTGAAGTACAGATCACTCGCTGTTGTGTTACCACTGTTTCGCT